GTTGGGCTGGGTCCGCTAGGCTTACTTGTCTCCGTGCTCGTGCTGTGTCTGATTCCGTTGCTTGTCTCCGTGCTCGTGCTGGAGCTGGTTCACTTACGTCGGTGCTCGTGCTGGTGTGGATGCCGATTTTAGAAAGTTTTTGCTGGGAAGGGCATTTTTTTTTAAATCTGAAATTTGCTTTTGCGCCATTATCTCCTTGTATTAAAGTTAACCTTGTTCTCATTCTGTATAGTTTATGTCTGATACCACTTATGTCTGAGGATTAGGCTAATCATCTCATATAAAAAACATCACAAGTAAAATGAATCATGTTTATAAAGATAAAAATGGGTTTATTATAGCCCGCTTACAATTTACATTTCAGAGATCATTACAAATAAATTCAATGACATGTGCATTTGGTAAATTCAGAAGTTAAAGGAATAAATTCAAAACCGCTTTGGACAGCATCTTTGGCTGTGAAACTTGACTCAGCAGTTTTCAGAAGCCAGCAAAAAGGCATGTTGACATATATTAAAACAAAAGGCTACGAGTTTAAAGAGATAGTTTACACAAAAATGTAAATTATATTATATTTTACTCACATGTATGACTGACTTTCTTCTGTGGAACCACAGATGGATGAAAGTCATTGGGGTCCTATATTCTTTTGGACCCCATTGACTTTTATTGTATGGACAAAAACAGTAGAAACGTGGTTCATAAAATCTTCTTTTTGTGTTCCACAGGAGAAAGTAAGTAATACCGGTTTGAAAAACACAGTTTCATTTTAGGGTGAACCACTCCATCAATCATTGTACATTTGTCCTATATACGTCTGTTGTAACTGTTTAGGCAATTTAAGTTTTTATAAACCGAAGTACAAATCAAAATCATTTTTGTGGTAACTGACAATCACAGGTGCTGTCCATAGAGCTTAAAGGGACAGCTCTCCTAAATATGAAAATTATGCTATTGTTTACTCGCCCTCATGTCCTTCCAAACCCAAAAATCACAAATGAAGAGATGAGAGATTTCTGTCCCTCATTTAAAATCCATTCCTCCAAAACGTTCACACTTCAAAATGTTCATAAAGGCATTGATGGCAGAATTTTCGTAAACTATTCCTTTAACCTGGAATATTCCTTTAATACAGGCAGTTTGTGCCTTGTAACTTACATCCAGTAGTGCAAATTCTTGTATTCTCATTCATTTATACCTCATGAGCAGCAGGACTACAGCACGACTCTATACGTGTCGTCACACTTTTAATGTTACACTGGTCGACTTGCTGAGAAGATTCAAGCAATGCATGTTCTATGCCATATGTTTATGAATGAAGTGTTATATGTGTATGGAGACTGTAAGAGGAGATGCGATGTATGAGTTTTATTTTACATGTTCTTAAGGCCTAAAGATGTTACATTTTTTGCATTTTAAGGTTTGCTCAGTTTAATTTGTACTACTATATGCTCTATAGCAGGGATCCTCAAATCTGGCCCACGAGATCCACTTTCCTGCAGAGTTTAGCTCTAACCCTAATCAAACACACCTAAGCATGCTAATCAGTGTCTTCAGGATCATTAGAAAATCACAGGTAGGTGAGTTTGGTCAGGGTTGGAGCTAAACTCTGCAGCGCATTGGTCCTTCAGGGCAAGATTTGAGGAACCCTGCTCTATAGCATCTCATGTCATTTTAATATACCAGTATGAATATGTGAAACACTGATTACAGAGCCGAGGGATGTGCATATTTTCAAAGATTTTCTCTTTTTGCCACTAAAACGGTTGTATAGACGTGACCAAAATCAATCGATATTTTAGAAGGACATAGTATTCCCCCACTGTGAAATATCTGACTAAAACTATTAGTCAAATTTTAAGATATTGTAAAGTTTTAATGTGCCATAAGTCAAATGACTAAATATATATTTTGTATTGTTTCTTATATTCCTGAATATCCAATCAGAAGTAATAAAACATCTCACTTGGATGTAGAAAGCTGTATCTGATGTCATTCTGCTATCATTCAATGTGTGTGTTTTTGATTCTTGGTTACGTTACATTTATTTAACATGTATTATTGGGGCTTGAAGCCACATGAATAAACTGCCTCTACACTGAAGTGTTTCTGATTATTTTATAAACCTGAAAGAAAAGTACATTTGATATTGCCAGAAGATTAAAAATGAAAGCGTTTACTGTCTCTACTGAAAGCTTTGCGCATGTATGTAAGCAGCCCAATAAATCAATTGGCCTCACCAAAACATTAATAGTTCAGAAATCTGAATATTTTTGGCAAAACATCAAACATTATCTGTGATTTAATCTGAGTAACTCAAAATAACCCGTTTTCAAATACGACTGGTTTCAGTTCAAGTAACAGTTGTGACTGGTCCTTACACAATTTATGATTAGCATATCTAAAAATGTCCAAATATAAACCACAGGAACTGAATGGTGTTATATTCGCTGTGCCTCATTTGACCTGTGTTTTAATCACACAGTAGGCTGCTCTCAGGGCATTTTGGGCAGAATGAAGTGCAAATCAGCCACTCGCCTCTCAAGAAGTGTCCATAAACTGATTGCCTTTATTAGAGAGGTGAAGTCCATCTGAAAGATACACTGAGAAATCCTGAGGGGGAAAAAATGTGTTCTCATTTTTATGTCAATTCACTACAATAAATCATTTATGGTATTGCTAGCATGTGTGTCACCTTTCCATCTTTCTGCATGAGCGTCCAGAGATCCAGAACATCCACACCAGACTGTCCAGCAGCCTAAACGCAGGCCTGCGCATACTGACCAGCCACAGAGTTCACCCGATTCAAAGCTGAACCAGATGAAAAAAGAGCATCTAAACACACCAAATACCATATTCATTATTTGTGTGTGTGAGTGTGTGTGTGAAAGAGAGAGAGAGTGAGGCGGCGTAACTAAATACTAGAGTTCTGCTTGCTGCACACTATATACTGCCAGGTCTTTTTTTTTTTATAGAATGTGAAACAGCACGCAATATGCAGCAATATATGATAAACATTACTGCAACTCCATGCCAAGTTGCATGTTTAATTAAGTGATCTGGTTATAATTTTGGAAATAAATATGGGTATTTTGCAAATCATTTTTAATCTAAGATTTAAGCAAAAATGTATTAACAGCATGTGTGTGTGTGTGTGTGTGTGTGTGTGTGTGTGTGTGTACTTGGATGGGTTAAATGCAGAGCACAAATTTAGAGTATGGGTCACCATACTTGGCCACACACTTCACTTAACAGATCTATTTGTTCAGACTATCAAGAGTTCAAACATTTTTGTATAATATTTGGTTGATATGCAAAATAAACTTTTTTATGATTTCAATTAAATACGCCGGTCATATGATGGCAATGTAGAATACTCAACATTGCATACTATTTCACATACCATTTTTAACACTACACTGTGCAGCATGCAGTACACCAGTACTGAACACAGCCTAAATTCAGGAGGTGTGTCACCTTTTAGCAAGCAAGCACTCTTTCTCCCAGGCGGTTTCTTGAAGTGATGGTGGTGATGAAGATGATCTTGTCATTGGACACTCCTATAGTCACCAGATATTTGAGAATTTCTTTTAAATTCTTATCTGCAAAGAAACGTTTGGAAGAGTCTCATATTATCACCGCCGCTGGTGTTCAGAGCTTGAAATGACACGTGAAATGTTCTTACCTTCCGATGCACAATCATTAGCACCGAAGAAGACGGTCACAGCCGCAATTGGAGCATCAGAAATGGGCACGATGCGAGGAAGCACAATCTTAGCCCACCTTGTGTTGTAACCCGACAAGCCTCTGTTTACCACGTCGCATTTTCTAATAAATGAAAGGAATGAAAGCGGTATGAATACAATACATTCGTGCTGTCATCAAATCTGTACCTGGCGAGTTTATGAGAGATTTTGGATCCCCATCCGTTCGCTTGAAACGCAAACTGGAACAAGAACACTGCATGTCAGAGTAAAGAACAAAACCCAAACTGCACTGTGTTCCAAAATGTTACCTGTGTTATTGAGTCGCCGAAGAGAATGATTTGGGGCCATATAACTCTCTTAAGTGTCGACTTTAGTAACAGCAGCACCTGACGACTTTAAGTTCACACTTCAGGTCTACTCTACCAGGAGGAAGCCGCAAAGGCTTAGTGGTGCTTCGTTCCTGAATGATTCGGAGTTTGAACTTTGAGTCCTCTCTCGTTTACTGAACTGTGAAGTCACAGAGCGTGTCAAAGAGCCGAGAGCTGGCTTCAGAACATGAACACTTACTATTAAACAAATAAGACTGTATAGAGTGTATATAGCTTACTAAAGTGTCATTGCATCTGTTCTAAACATAACCACGTAGGCCACTATTTAATAAATAAAGCGTAGAGAGTGCATAAAGCGTACTAAGGTGTCTTTCCTTCTATTCTAACTATTCAATAAGTAAACAACCATAGAGTGTATACAGCTTGTGTTATTCAGTCCATTCCAAACATGGCCATTTACAAACACACAAATAAGTAAATAAATAACCGTATATAGCAGTGGTTCCCAACCGGGGTCGGGGCCCATTAAGGGGCCTCAGCAAACTTCCAAGAAGGCCTCAAGATGACTTAAAATAAATAAAATAAGACAAAACAAGAATTAAAATAAGCCAGAACAACTAAAAATCAAGATACTTTTTATTTTACCCCTCAACAACTCTTTTGGAAAAACCTGGATATAAAAGGAAGCATCATTTTAACACTGTGATTTCTAGACCTGGAAATGTCATGTAAATGAATAAAATCTTAAAATGTATATATATATATATATATGTATACACACACACACACACACACACACACACATATATATATATAATGAATATACATTTTTCTAGCTATGCCAGTAGCACCTTAATAAATGTAAGCTGTATACACACTATACTAACACACACACACACACACACATATATATATATATATAATGAATATACATTTTTCTAGCTATGCCAGTAGCACCTTAATAACTGTAAGCTGTATACACACTATACTATTTATTTATTTAATTGCGAGTGGATCTGTTTAGAATGGATTCATAGCACTGATCTATATTATGACTCTATTATAGATCAGTAATACATAGCCTCTTGCTAATGAATGAATGAATATATTTAGAGTATATAGAGCAGTTAGTAAGCTGATATCAGTGCTAAACATAGCCATTTGCTATTTAAAAAAATTGTAATGTAGTATATACTGTCCAGTACTTAGTACAGGGCTGCCCAAACTCGGTCCTGGAGGGCCGGTGTCCTGCAGAGTTTAGCTCCAACCCCAATTAAACACACCTGAACCAGCTCATCAAGCTCTTACTTGGCATACTAGAAATTTCCCAGCAGGTGTGTTGAGGCAAGCTGGAGCTAAACTCTGCAGGACACCGGCTCTCCAGGAGCGAGTTTGGGCAGCCCTGACTTAGTAGTTGTACTGTAGGAAGTTGATACTCCAATCTAAACACAGTCATTTACTGTCGCGCGTCCCCTTTAAGAAGTGCTGGGTGGAGCCGTACAGGAAGTGAAGTGTCAACGCAAGTCTCGCCAAAACAGAGGGGGCTGCCGACCGCTGCTTTGATGAACCTACCTATTAGTAATTATTACGGCCGTACACTGCTGCATAGTGAGCTCAAAATAGAGGTATGCCCAGTGTGCTTGTTTACCACGTTCAAATTCTCCATATTTAATTATAGAGATGCCAATAAACGACCAAACGAGACGGGCTAGACGTGGGGTGCTGCTGAGTGTTTATCCTAGCAACGGGTTTCCGTTACTTTCCGCGGGGTTTTCATTAGCTGTGGGATCGCGGTGAGCTCGTGCCTAGAAGAAATGTCATGAAGCGCGAGCTGAGCGACTCCTAGAAATGTACTCAAAGTTTGGCACCGTTGTTTTATAGGGGCGTGGGCTCGTGGAGTGCCCTGAACCCCGAGAACATGTCCATGCTGGATTTCTCATACTCTTAAGGCAGTATTTTTCATAACGTAATATGTCTGAGCAGAATACTGCATAAGCAACCTTGTTCACTGACAGCTCTCACGCTTGGGCTCTTCGTTGTTTGGTTAATAGTCTGTGTTGAGTTTACAAATGTAACTGTTTTGAATTGAGTGATTTATTGAATGAAATTATGTATTACGATATCGTGATATGAAAATCTAAGTTTTCTAAAGCGTTCTGACTTTTTCCACTATTCAGAGTTTACATCTCTTAATTCCGTTTATATCGTGAAATGTTGACTTTTTTCCCCTCAGAATCCTTAAGGAGTTGACACCTTAATTCTTTTTTTTTCTGCCACAGAATAAAAAATGAAAGAAGGTTATTGGACTTTTTACTTTTAGATTTTATAGCTCACAATTCAGCCTGTTTTTTTTCCCCCCAAAAATTTCCAGAAAAAAAAGAGAATTGTGAGATATAAAATCAAAAAAGTCTGAATTGTGAGAAAAAGAGTTTTTTTTTTTTTTGCGGAATCAATTTTCCATAGGTTCCAAGTATCAAAAAATGAGAATTATTTTCTGAGAATGGGTTAAAAATATATATATATATTTTTTTAGTTCAAGGCCTGGAAGAACATGCAAATGTTTTAGTGAGAGAGAGAGAGTGTGTGTGTCTTCCCATATTTATTTCTATATTTTTATATTTGTTTCTAGGTTTGCTCTGTTCTAAAATATTTCATTGGCTACTGGCTAGCATATTGTACTTTCTCTTTAGTGTTATTAGAGTCAGTTGTACACTAAGCATAAATTCTTTCAAAAATGTGTACCTGACATACAAATGGAAATCTACCAAAGGGAAAAAAATATCATTGGTTAAACAGGGTATGGATCTTGAAATAATCATGTTATTAAATATTTGGTCTTTGATTAAAATCCATCTTTACAGGAAACTATGGGTGTGATGAACTGAAGTAATACTAATGCTGTTATTTGTCCTCAGACTCTGCTTCCGTCTGCTGGTAAGCTGGAGACCTGCAGCACTGGCGTCATGGTGAAGGATGTTTCGAAAGGTCAAGAAGCGCCACAGCAGCAGCAGCTCCCAGAGCAGTGAGATCAGCTCTAAAAGCAAGGTTGGTTTACCAGCAGTCATCACGTACACACGTCGTAAACAAATATTGGCTGAATTTCCATTTGCACATTTCTGTTAGGTACAGAAAGAGCATATTACATTTGGTATGCTGAAATGTACTTACAAATATGAATTGAGCCAGTATGCTAGTACTGGGACTTACTTCCACATATTAAAATTAAGCCTTGATACCAAAGGGTGCAGTGAAAGGGGTTGTGACCAGTATTAGCTCAAAAGGAATGCATCTGCGAATCAAAAAAAATTTCTCTTTTTTTTTTTTTTTTTTTTTTTTTTTTTTATCAAATGAACACAAAGATTACACAATGACAATGTATTTTTACTTTTAACACATTTATTTTAACTGAGTGATGATGAATTATTCAATCAGACATTTACATGAATTAATGAAATCTATTTTACATACGTATTACATGTACTGTATGTCTTTTATAATGATGTTTATTCTATAAACCTACCATATATTATACAGTACACTACCGTTCAGATGTTTGGGTTTGGTAAGATCATTTTTAGTTTTTGAAAGAAATCTTTTATACTCACTAAGGCAGCATTTATTTACTCAAAAATACAGTAAACGGTAATATTGTGAAATATATATTTTTTTAAATGATTACAAATGTAATGTTTTAAAATGTAATATATTCCTCTGATGCAAAGCTGAATTTTCAGCAGTCTTCAGTGTCACATGATCCTTCTGAAATCATTCTAATATGCTGATTTGCTGCTCAAGAAACATTTCTTATTATCATCAACGTTGAAACAGTTGTGCTGCTTAGTATTTTTGTGGATGTCTCTCATAGTTGAGGTATACCTATGATGAAAATTACAGGCCTCTCTCATCTTTTTAAGTGGGAGAACTTGCACAATTGGTGGCTGACTAAATACTTTTTTGCCCCACTGTATTATACAGTACACTACCGTTCAAATGTTTGGGTTTGGTAAGATCATTTTTAGTTTTTGAAAGAAATCTTTTATACTCACTAAGGCAGCTTTTATTTACTCAAAAATACAGTAAACGGTAATATTGTGAAATATATATTTCTTTGATAATTCACACTGCGTGATTGTCACTCGCGTGAACGAGCACGATTTGCCTCCGATTTTGGGCATTTGTCGGCGATTTTGCAAAACCTGTAGTGAAAAATCGGGCTAAAATCGTGCAGTATGAACTCGGCATTAGAGACACGCAGCCTTTTGAGAGTCGTTTCACAAGACATTGATGGAATTTAGTCGTGTTGATTATTTTTTTGGATTATTGAGATGTTTTTAGCAGCTGTTTGGACTCTCATTCTGACGGCACCCATTCACTGCAGAAGATCCATTGGTGAGAAAGTGATGTGTAAATTTCTAATCTTCATCTTTGATAGTCTGAGGATGAGTACATTTTTCAGAAAATCATATTTGGGTAAACAATTCTTTTAATCTAGCAAACCACTGATATTAAAGCAGAAATGAAATAGTTATCATAAATCATGCATTAAGACTGAAGCTGTTTAAAAACCTTCATTATATTTCATGTATTCAATTTAAAGCAAGATGGAAAACTGCCGTTTGTGCCTGGAAATGAGGAGATGATTCTGGGAGTGTCCAAGTATGGAGTTAAAGTGGCCTCATTGGACCAGTGTGTGAGTTCATTCACCTGACCCAATGTCATTGTTTAATATTCATATGAGAGATTTGGCTCTTTTTTTTAATCCACCACATGAAAGGAGCATTTAGATTCATGATCACAAAATAATAATGTGGGACTGTAACGGAACATTACCTCTATCAGCTATCATTATTCCCTATTTTCACAGGATGTGTTTCAGCGTCACCCGCTCTACCTGATTGTGCGTATGCTTTGCTATGATGATGGTCTGGGTGCTGGAAAAAACCTGCTCGCACTGAAGACCACAGATGCAGAGCAGCAGGAGTGCAGCATCTGGGTGTATCAGTGCAGCAGTGCGGTAAGACCTCAAGACAGGAAGTCTTTCTGAAGGCTTTCACTATTTGTGTGTTAGCCCTGAAATGAGTGAAAAGGTGAATATATTTTATTTTAAACTGGAGGAACCATCATTTAGACCAAAAGGCTATTGTAACCAATTTTATTTAAAATGATTAGGGCAAAACATAATAAAAATCTTGTTATAAAGCAATTTCCCTTTTTTTTTTTTTTTTTTTTAAATCAAATGAACACAAAGATTACACAATGACAATGTATTTTTACTTTTAACACATTTATTTTAACTGAGTGATGATGAATTATTCAATCAGACATTTACATGAATTAATGAAATCTATTTTACATACGTATTACATGTACTGTATGTCTTTTATAATGATGTTTATTCTATAAACCTACCATATATTATACAGTACACTACCGTTCAGATGTTTGGGTTTGGTAAGATCATTTTTAGTTTTTGAAAGAAATCTTTTATACTCACTAAGGCAGCATTTATTTACTCAAAAATACAGTAAACGGTAATATTGTGAAATATATATTTTTTTAAATGATTACAAATGTAATGTTTTAAAATGTAATATATTCCTCTGATGCAAAGCTGAATTTTCAGCAGTCTTCAGTGTCACATGATCCTTCTGAAATCATTCTAATATGCTGATTTGCTGCTCAAGAAACATTTCTTATTATCATCAACGTTGAAACAGTTGTGCTGCTTAGTATTTTTGTGGAAACTGAAATGTTTTTTTTTCAGGATTTTTTGATAATAGAAAATTCAAAAGAACAGCATTTCTTTGAAATCGAAATCTTTTGTAACATTATAAATGTTATGGCTGTCACTTCTGATAATTCTTTAAAAATCCTACAATGTGATTTTCTGGATTTTTTTTCTCATTTTGTCTCTCATAGTTGAGGTATACCTATGATGAAAATTACAGGCCTCTCTCATCTTTTTAAGTGGGAGAACTTGCACAATTGGTGGCTGACTAAATACTTTTTTGCCCCACTGTATTATACAGTACACTACCGTTCAAATGTTTGGGTTTGGTAAGATCATTTTTAGTTTTTGAAAGAAATCTTTTATACTCACTAAGGCAGCTTTTATTTACTCAAAAATACAGTAAACGGTAATATTGTGAAATATATATTTTTTTAAATGATTACAAATGTAATGTTTTAAAATGTAATATATTCCTCTGATGCAAAGCTGAATTTTCAGCAGTCTTCAGTGTCACATGATCCTTCTGAAATCATTCTAATATGCTGATTTGCTGCTCAAGAAATATTTCTTATTATCATCAACGTTGAAACAGTTGTGCTGCTTAGTATTTTTGTGGAAACTGAAATGTTTTTTTTTTCAGGATTTTTTGATAATAGAAAATTCAAAAGAACAGCATTTCTTTGAAATCGAAATCTTTTGTAACATTATAAATGTTATGGCTGTCACTTCTGATCAATTTAACACTCTTTGCTGAATACAAGTATTAATTTTGTACCAAACTTTTGAATTGCAATGTCTATAGAAGACTCCAGCTGTCTTTGTTAATCTGTGATGTTCTGTAATTGTAACACCATTTGTGCTCTACAGGAACAAGCCCAGGCCATCTGTAAAGTACTGTCCACCTCCTTCAACTGTGCCCTGGCCTCAGAGAAGTCCTGAGGTCTGTTTGGGAGTGTTCCTGTTCTTCTACCCTCACTCATTCCTTCAGCAGCAGGAGGAGGATTGAAGTCTGTTTGTGGAAGGTGCCCTTTTTAAAAGCTCCTGACAGAAATGCTGGAATTTGTCTCACTTTGATTATACATGTCAATACAGCTGATCCGTCTTTGTTCAGCATGAAAGGGCAGCCATCTCAACCACATGTTTACACCATATACATTAATCCCAGCGTCCTCTTCTCTTATCAGCCCCACCACAACCCAAAAGCCAAGTTTGGGCTGCGTCTATATTTGTAACCTAATTTAATCTTATTTAATGTAAATATACAATAACCTCAGAGCACATCTCCCACTATGGGCCAGTGAATCTGGGATTTGTTGGGCTCTAGTGGGATTTGTGTAAACCGTGGTACATTAATGTCAGTGTAAACACAAAGATGTTGTAAAACCCAAACCCTCTGCGTCTTTAATATGTAAATGCACCTCTTTTGTGGTCCTCCTGGTCCAGGTGGGATCAGATTAGTTAATATGGTACAATAAATGCGAATGTAATGCAGTTTCATCTCGTTTTTCCCCCTCGTTTCCACTAGATGGCAGTGCTTTCATCCTATTGAATAATTGGAGTGTTTTCAAACTATTCATGTTTAATAATAACAACAAAAACATCCCACAGCCCCCTGATTGAGGAACAAAGCCTGAAGTTTAATGTCCCTTTACCTGGCACATTTTCACTTAACCTATCCAAATAATGCAACACGTGAACAAGAAATTCTTTTGCCGTTTTTTGAATTCCAGTTTTCCCATTTATTTGTACATATATGCATATATTTATATATTAGCATCAATGACGTTTATGGTAAACGGCTGAATAGGTCATTTTCATCTTAGTTAAAAGTGTACTGTAACAGTCTTATCTAACAGTACGTCAAACCATCAGTCATTATCAGTTTAGCGCTCAGTTTACAATTAAATATGCACAAAGCAAAGTCTACATTTATCTACAATCACAGCCGGCCAGGTGCCGACCGTATACAGTAAGCTGAACACAGGATAATTACATCCCACCACTGCCCGAGTCACAGGGCACACTGGTCCGAGCTCAATCAAGACTAACATGACTGTAATTAAAAGTTACATAACAGACTCTATTAAGTTGCTCTGCAACCACATCAAACACTCGAGACATAAAACGCTCTGCTGTGTTACTCCTGCACACAATTACGGATGAATGAGCATTTCAAAGCTTTAGAAAGGATTTAGAGAAGTGTTGTGAGGGGAAATGACATGAGGGATTTTAATTTCCCCTGGAATACAATTAGAGGAGATGCAGTTATTACCCATCTGGCCAACCAAAGCAGGGAGACTCTGGGAACATCCTGGGAGGTGGAAATAATTCATATCTCGAATTGACACCTTGGAATCTGTTCAAAATGACTAGGTTTTGGAGATCTCGAGGTAAAAACATTATTCAGTATGGTCCAGTTTTGCACACTGAAGAAAAGAGTGAGCAACTTAAAAGAATAGTTCACACCGAACTGAAAATGCTGTCGTCATGAGATTTCAAACCTTTTTATCTTCCACAGAACCAGCCAGGATGAATATTTAAGAATGTCCAGAGTGCTTTTTCTAGAATGACAACAAACCTGTCAAGCTTGAAAAAGACAAGAACAACATTGTAAATGTGGCGCTATAGTCCAAGTACCCAGAACACATATGTTGGGACTAAAACAACAGAGGTAAAAATGCTATTCACTCATTATCTTTCCCCTTGATCACAGTTCTCAAATCTCATTCAAACTTGCATTTGATTTAATGTGACATGTTGTGCCAAGTTTAACATCATTTGTTTATCATGTTTGGCTCTCATAAACCTGGCTTGGTATGTCTTGACACAGCATAATTAAACTGAATGAGATATGAGAACCACAGAAGATGATTTTCAGTGAATAGCGCCTTGCTTCTTCACACACAAATGTAAATTCTGTCACTGTGAGATTTTTTTAAACATTTCTCAAATGAGTTATTTTTGTCTTTACAATAGAAGTCAATAGGCTCCAATGTTGCTTGGTTCCCACATTCGTCAAAATATCTTTTGTGTTCCACAGAATAAATAAGTCATACAGGTTTGGAACTATACGAATGTGATCAAATTATCATTTTTCTTAAGGCTAGAATTGTCATTTTGGGGTGAACAATCCATTTAAATATTGGTCTGTTCCTGACTACAATAGGACTTCATCAGACTTGGAATATAGAAAACCAATAGCACGGACCACATTTATAGTGCACAACACCCACAGTCCCCGACCCGTTATGAAAAAGCAGTCTGGACATTCCACAGTACATCTTTTGCACTGTTTGAAAGAACATAAATGACCACATTTTCATTTTTGGGCTATCACTTTAAGAATGAATGAGCCATTTGATAAATGACACGTTCCACAGATCTCTCAAGGCAAGCGGCCTGCACACTGAAGGAAGGTCTGCAAAAGATCATTCCAATCAATAAGAGCATCTAAATCAAGATCACAGAAGGACAGCACCAGATTATAAATATCTATACAGAAATAAACCTCCTTGATGCTCCTTTTTTCTCTCTCTGGAGGCCACTGAATGTTCATGCAGACGCTCACAACTTTACGGTATAGAGCAGTCTGTCTAAAAGGAATAAGGATGTAAATGATCTTGGAATAAAACCTTCATTTCAGTGACATTCGTCTCATTAGCATTGCGGTCATGATAAATTAGGTTAAAAGTGCAACTAGATTAGTGCAACTCATTCTGAATCATATCTGGTCCACAAACCAAAAACAAAAAGCCCAGAAAGCTGTTATATTCCAGAGAGAGTGTCTCTCAAGCCAGGTTAGAGCCAGGGATTTTGGAAGCTCAGTGAAGACACAAGCCTCGGGATGATGATGATGATGATGATGAAGGTCAGTGAGGCCACACAGAAGCAGAGAAGTGCCGTCATCCGTCCAGCTCAGTGTCTATGATCTCTGAACTTCAGTCCATGATGAACTGCACGAATGTGACAGGAAACGCTCCTCTTCTCATTGGCTCTCCCTCAATGTGGCCCAGCTACAAAACAATCAAGGGAAAGTATGTCAGAAAGGTTCCTGAAACTGCATACAGGTGTGTTAAAAGGCCAAAATGTATTTTAGATATATATATATAGTGTGTGTGAGAGAGGGAGACTGAAATAAGTAAATAAATACATAATAACTGCAAAACAGATGGACAAAATTGACAAAAAAGACATGACAAAATACAAATAAAAAAAATCTAAATCAAATTATAAAAATAAAATTCTAAATATTAATATAATATAAAAATATTAATATATATATAAATAATACTAAACACCTAATTGAACTTATAAAAGCATTTTTACACACATTTACTACATCTATTTACATTTAAAATTCATTTAGTAAACATACTAAAATATGATATACGCTTTAATCCAAAGCAGATCAAAGAGCCAACCATATTTGTAATACACAGTGCCAGGTTTCATAGACAACTAAATTAGATACAAACATATTGTTCATTTGCATACATTGTTAATTTGACTATTTCAAATGAGTAACATATTACACATTTGAAATCTAGCTAGATAGTTATAGCCACATCATGCCCTCAGAAAAGGTCTTTTTTTGAAGGGTTTAAATCCCTTTCTAAACTTAATTTTGGATTATCTGTCTGTTGTCGGCGTGATATAAAAACCACTTTTAGGCTATTTAGTCACACCACATTCATCCCAAGACCAGACCGAGAAGGTAATCCAGAACCTCAGTACAGCATCAAAAAAAAAACACACACACACACAAGATTCCATAAACTCTTATTAATGAGTCCTCAGATGAAGCTAATCTTGATGATAAGCTAAATGCATTTTTTCTTAGTTTAAGACGGTCTCCATAAAATAAAAATAATCTCAACTCAAATCAATAATTCTTAACAACTGTCAAAAAAAAAGAAGTGGAAATGCAGCTTGAACTCACTGAAGCACACAGATATGTAAATATCACAGAAGTCACACAGGAACACAGAGATGTTTGGCTGTACCGCCGATGAGCCTCTGTGGAGATGGAATGACTAAACACGGCCAGTGGAAACCAGGGTGATTTGGTGGAAAACAAGCAGCTAGTCTGTATTCAGCCAGAGACACTGAACCAGACCGCGGCCCTCGGTGAGTTTACTTATTAACAAGCAGCCAGTCACAGGAAGAGAAATAAACTAACGTTTCCTCTCTGGTTCCCTCACTCTTAATATTTGAAGGTGAGCTGTGTGTCATCTACATAGAGTTGAAGTGAGGTCAGGATACTCACCCACCACTCCTGGTCCTCCTCACCGTCCACGACGATCACCTCTCCCTCAGAGAACGTCAGCTCGTCTGGGTTATCAGCCACACAGTTATACACGGCCTTCACACGCTTCGGCCTCTGTTTACCACACACGGATCCAGTTTGGAAACACAAGAACATGTCAGTTAGCATCTCACACCAAGCTAAATATGTTTCTTTTAATCATATTTGGATGCCATATTGGATGATTCCTTTGAATTGACTGGATTTGCATATTTGGAGCATCATCTTGTGGTTGAACATACCAGGTAAGTTTTCCTGGGCATGTGTGTAGCGGGCAGAGTTTGGCCAGTGGAGTTTTGGGGGCCTCCAGGAACTTTAGCTGTTCCACAAAAACAGGAAATGACATCACAATTAGCTTTGCATTTTCACTACAACAATGGCCGCAAGCCTTTTATTAATACAACATCAACTTACAGTCAACATGGTTTCTCTGACATCTACCTGGTCTCTCGATGGATCCGGAGCGCATCAGTGTGCTTTTACTGAAGCTTTTGTCCGCGCTGCAAGCAACAACAACAGATGTGAATGTTGTGTACAGTTTCTGTAGTACTAAAGGCTACGATATTTCGACTCGGGTCATGCTGGCAACAGCATTAGTAATCTGAGTGCCCTACTTGTCTGGTCCTCTGGCACTGTGTGCGTGAATGAGGACTTGAATAGGAATTGTATTTCCCTACAGGCGTTTTTCACCTCTGTGTTCAGATAAGGGCACACTCACCTTTTACTGGAATCTGACTCGCCAAACACTCTAAAGAAGTTCTATGCAAGGACTATTAGTGCTTAGGACAGAAGTGTCAGAGTGAATATGTACACACGTGTGTGCATGTGGTCAAGGGTCGTTTAGTATTCTGACCTTGTAGCCCGGCTGATGCTCTGACCAGGAGGCCCCTGTCCGGGTTTGGGCTGTATAGTCATGGCCTCCATCATGCTGCCAGTTTTAGCCGCAGGAGGAAGAGCTCCGCTGGGCAGAAGAACTGCACAGAAATCATCAAATAGCTGCATTTATGTTAAAGATCCTCACAACTACTAAAACAAACTTTTCACAGATGTTTCAATATTTTTTTGTGCTTCATTATTGTTAACAGGGTTCCCACACCTGAATTCCTATGACACTCCACAATTTTTCTTAATTTTTGGATACTTTAAAAAATATTTTTAATTACAAATAAAATATAAAAATAATATTATATAGTTAATAACATTATATTAAATATATATTTATAGCTGATTAAATATTGTAGAGCTGAACATAACTAGATTTTACTATTATTTAATATATTTATAATACTATATATACAGTGGGTACGGAAAGTATTCAGACCCCCTTAAATTTTTCACTCTTTGTTATATTGCAGCCATTTGCTAAAATCATTTAATCAAGTTAATTTTTTTCCTCATTAATGTACACACAGCACCCCATATTGACAGAAAAACACAGAATTGTTGACATTTTTGCAGATTTATTAAAAATGAAAAACTGAAATATCACATGGTCCTAAGTATTCAGACCCTTTGCTGTGACACTCATATATTTAACTCAGGTGCTGTCCATTTCTTCTGATCATCCTTGAGTTGGTAAACTAAACTACTATATATTCACTGTAGTAATAATAATAAACATTTAAAATATACTGAAATGTACTTGTTGGCTTTTTTGTACTCTTAAAAAAATAGTTTTAAAACGGTTTTAACGTCTCGTGTTATTTCAAACAGTTTTTGACCCTGAATTAAGAGAACAGAAAGACGCATCTGATCATCTACTGATCTGTAAATCCCTGAACAGATTTGAAATGAATGAAAGAAAGAGTGCAATCGTCTTGAATTTTTGGGGGGAAATCAGGCATGGGTCAATAACAGCCTTTCAGCTCGAAGACCAGTGCAGACCAGAAATTCTGAAGCCTGCTACCTGCCATTTGTTCATGAATATTAATATTAACGTGAATGGACAGTTAAGTATAGTCAATTCGCAAAAGACATAACCTAATTAATATTCATGAGTTAAGACACTGATCCTGGATCTGCTTTTTGTAATGTGATGTCATGACATGGCAATCAAAGAACAATCCGGCCCTAAACTAAATCGCTCGGCCTGGAGCAAAGCTCCATCCACTCATTCATGTACAGCCAACTCACGGGAAGTGGATGTGCCCCGTAAGGGGGGCGCTGGAGGATGCATGTTGGGGGGGTCAGAGGAAGATCGCTGCCTGCCGGTCAGATCTAGGGAGCCAGGCTTCCAACTGGGAGATCCCTGAGCCATTCCAGCAAGACCAGACGGCTGAACTGTGAGAAGGTGAAGAGAAGAAAGAGATTCAAAGAGAGTGACTTCAGATTGGTCTACAGGACACCGCTTTTGTTTACTAGATGACGAGAAAGCTCTGCTGTGTCTCTTTTTCTGGACCCTGGAGCCGCTCCAGACCAGCAGAGCTCCATTATGCACCTAATTGCATTAGTGTTTTTAAGAATATAGCTCATTGTGAAGTCTCTAACTGAGGTTTGAGAGCAAAGTCCCAATAGAGAGAAAAACATCTTGTTCTAATACAGAAATCAGGGCTTTTTTTATCCGAGTTGTGTTAGGGGTTAAGTTGTCCAAAAATTGGTTTCCATTCAATTTGCAAAAAAAATGAAATAAATAATAATAATAAAAAATGTAAACTTTAATAATACCCTGAAGGCTCATGTAAAAACAAGCTTGTAGCTTGTCAGTCTCTCTCTCTCTCTCTCTCTATATATATATATATATATAGTGGGTACGGAAAGTATTCAGACCCCTTAAATTTTTCACGATGCAACAAGTTTTTCACATCTGGATTTGGGGATCCTCTGCCATTCTTCCTTGCAGATCCTCTCCAGTTCTGTCAGGTTGGATGGTAAACGTTGGTGGACAGCCATTTTTAGGTCTCTCCAGAGATGCTCAATTTGGTTTAAGTCAGGGCTCTGGCTGGGCCATTCAAGAACAGTCACAGAGTTGTTGTGAAGCCACTCCTTCGTTATTTTAGCTGTGTGCTTAGGGTCATTGTCTTGTTGGAAGGTAAACCTTCGGCCCAGTCTGAGGTCCTGAGCACTCTGGAGAAGGTTTTCGTCCAGGATATCCCTGTGCTTGGCCGCATTCATCTTTCCCTCGATTGTAACCAGTTGTCCTGTCCCTGCAGCTGAAAAACACCCCCACAGCATGATGCTGCCACCACCATGCTTCACTGTTGGGACTGTATTGGACAGGTGATGAGCAGTGCCTGGTTTTCTCCATACATACCGCTTAGAATTAAGGCCAAAAAGTTCTATCTTGGCCTCATCCGACCAGATAATCTTATTTCTCACCATCTTGGAGTCCTTCAGGTGTTTTTTCATGTGTCTTGCACTGAGGAGAGGCTTCCGTCGGGCCACTCTGCCATAAAGCCCCGACTGGTGGAGGGCTGCAGTGATGGTTGACTTTCTACAACTTTCTCCCATCTCCCGACTGCATCTCTGGAGCTCAGCCACAGTGATCTTTGGGTTCTTCTTTACCTCTCTCACCAAGGCTCTTCTCCCCCGATAGCTCAGTTTGGCTGGACGGCCAGCTCTAGTAAGGGTTCTGGTCGTCCCAAACGTCTTCCATTTCAGGAATGGAGGCCACTGTGCTCTTGGGAACCTTAAGTGCAGCAGAATTTTTTTTGTAACCTTGGCCAGATCTGTGCTTTGCCACAATTCTGTCTCTGAGCTCTTCAGGCAGTTCCTTTGACCTCATGATTCTCATTTGCTCTGACATGCACTGTGAGCTGTAAGGTCTTATATAGACAGGTGTGTGGCTTTCCTAATCAAGTCCAATCAGTATAATCAAACACAGCTGGACTCAAATGAAGGTGTAGAACCATCTCAAGGATGATCGGAAGAAATGGACAGCACCTGAGTTAAATATATGAGTGTCACAGCAAAGGGTCTGAATACTTAGGACCATGTGATATTTCAGTTTTTCTTTTTTAATAAATCTGCAAAAATGTCAACAATTCTGTGTTTTTCTGTCAATATGGGGTGCTGTGTGTACATTAATGAGGAAAAAAAATGAACTTAAATGATTTTAGCAAATGGCTGCAATATAACAAAGAGTGAAAAATTGAAGGGGGTCTGAATACTTTCCGTACCCACTGTATATAGGGTACTAATGATCACAGTAACTGACAGCCACATTTTTTTTTTAAATATGTATTTTCATTCTTTTTAATAAATATTCAGCCTTTGTTTTGTCTGTGTTGTTTTTAAATGCTGAGAGCATGTATGTTTTATTTTGTTGCTTGTTTGCAAATGAGAAAACACAATAAATCAAAAACTGTAATAATATTTTTTTTTAAATCGTCATAATTAGATTATTATTACTTTTAATATTTTATGAAATTCCATTACTTTTATATGGAAACTATAATTCCTACATCTATTGATATTTCCAGTTCCACCCTTTTTGGTAGACAAAACATGGTTGATACATATAAAACATTAAAAAACAAAAGTTAAAGCTACTAATATTATTGTTGGCTTTAACAGTTTTTATATAGGTTATTTATAGATGAATAAATATCATACCACTGAGCATAACTAAACTACTATATATTCACTGTAGTAATAATAATAAACATTTAAAATATACTGAAATGTACTTGTTGGCTTTTTTGTACTCTTAAAAAAATAGTTTTAAAACGGTTTTAACGTCTCGTGTTATTTCAAACTGTTTTTGACCCTGAATTAAGAGAACAGAAAGCATCTGATCATCTACTGATCTGTAAATCCCTGAACAGATTTGAAATGAATGAAAGAAAGAGAGTGCAATCGTCTTGAATTTTTGGGGGGAAATCAGGCATGGGTCAATAACAGCCTTTCAGCTCGAAGACCAGTGCAGACCAGAAATTCTGAAGCCTGCTACCTGCCATTCGTTCATGAATATTAATATTAACGTGAATGGACAGTTAAGTATAGTCAATTCGCAAAAGACATAACCTAATTAATATTCATGAGTTAAGACACTGATCCTGGATCTGCTTTTTGTAATGTGATGTCATGACATGGCAATCAAAGAACAATCCGGCCCTAAACTAAATCGCTCGGCCTGGAGCAAAGCTCCATCCACTCATTCATGTACAGCCAACTCACGGGAAGTGGATGTGCCCCGTAAGGGGGGCGCTGGAGGATGCATGTTGGGGGGGTCAGAGGAAGATCGCTGCCTGCCGGTCAGATCTAGGGAGCCAGGCTTCCAACTGGGAGATCCCTGAGCCATTCCAGCAAGACCAGACGGCTGAACTGTGAGAAGGTGAAGAGAAGAAAGAGATTCAAAGAGAGTGACTTCAGATTGGTCAACAGGACACCGCTTTTGTTTACTAGATGACGAGAAAGCTCTGCTGTCTCTCTTTTTCTGGACCCTGGAGCCGCTCCAGACCAGCAGAGCTCCATTATGCACCTAATTGCATTAGTGTTTTTAAGAATATAGCTCATTGTGAAGTCTCTAACTGAGGTTTGAGAGCAAAGTCCCAATAGAGAGAAAAACATCTTGTTCTAATACAGAAATCAGGACTTTTTTTATCCGAGTTAAACTCTGACAGACAAAGTCAAAAGGTTACCAGTCTCTTGTTCACTGACATCTAGCTTATGTCATCTTAACAGAGCTGTAAGGCCTTCTAAACAGTCCTGAAAGCGTTTGAAAGAGTGCAGCTGCACGTGCCACCTGCTGCCGAGCGGCTCCCTGTCCAGAGACTCTGGGAGTGCTCATATAGGTCAGCATCTTCACACAGCCGTTGCCATGGAGCGCTGCAGTGGAACTGGGTGACGGTGAGAATTCAAGAACAGGTCAAATGAGATTTCTGCCGTTTTGAGACCTGACATCTGTGAGGCCAAAAATACAGCAGCATATTGGGGCCTGAATGAGAATCATAAAGGGTCAAACAGCCTTATTGACTTGCTGCATTTATGTATGTTTGACTTTTTGTAGCATTTGATTAGCTTTTTTTTTTTTGTATATTTAGCAACACTTCATAATTTTCATAAATAACTATCAGATACTAAATATTATTGAAGTGAATCTTACAATGGAATAATTTTTTTCACAATTGTATTTTTTTTTTTATTGGAGGAAATTTTGCATATATTTTACTTTGTCTAGTAGTAGTCTAGTATATGATTGCATGATCTAACACATCACATTAATTGACTGATTGTATTCAAATAGTAAAAAAATAAAATAAATAAATAATCTGGACATTTTGTATATATTTAACTTTTGTCTAGTAGATTACATGATTACATTAACACATTACATCATTAACTGATTGTATTAAACAGATAAAAATAATGAATTATGTTATAATAATAATAATAATAGTGCTGTCAAACGATTAATCACATCCAAAATAACAGTTTTTGTTTACATAATGTACTGTGTATATTTATTATGTACTGTATATATAAATACAAACGCATGTATATATTTAAGAAAAATTTTATCTTTATATATTAAATATATTAAATATATTTATATATATAATATAAATGTATATACATGTAAATATTTTCCAATTATATACTGAATGTGTGTGTATTTATATATACATAAATAAACAGTACACAAATATATTATGTAAACAAAAACGTTTATTTTGGATGCGATTAATCATTTGACAGCACTAAATAATAATAATAATGATAATATACGTAAATAGTAAGTACATGTGATTAATTAATGTTAATCAGTACTTGTTTAATAATGCTGTAACAATGGCACTTTAAAATAAAGTGTGGCCAACAGTTAGATTAGTTATTACTTAACTTTTAAAATTAATTATAATTATATTCATTTTTATTCCATCCATTTGATTAGAGTTTTTGGATTTCTTTATTTTGGGGATTTTGTACCTTTAATGTAATAGAGGAGGCTGGTCTATTTCCGTCCTCAGGCACATCCAAAATAACAGTTTTTGTTTACATAATGTACTGTGTATATTTATTATGTACTGTATATATAAATACAAACGCATGTATATATTTAAGAAAAATTTTATCTTTATATATTAAATATATTAAATATATTTATATATATAATATAAATGTATATACATGTAAATATTTTCCAAATATATACTGAATGTGTGTGTATTTATATATACATAATAAATAAACAGTACACAAATATATTATGTAAACAAAAACGTTTATTTTGGATGCGATTAATCATTTGACAGCACTAAATAATAATAATAATGATAATATACGTAAATAGTAAGTACATGTGATTAATTAATGTTAATCAGTACTTGTTTAATAATGCTGTAACAATGGCACTTTAAAATAAAGTGTGGCCAACAGTTAGATTAGTTATTACTTAACTTTTAAAATTAATTATAATTATATTCATTTTTATTCCATCCATTTGATTAGAGTTTTTGGATTTCTTTATTTTGGGGATTTTGTACCTTTAATGTAATAGAGGAGGCTGGTCTATTTCCGTCCTCAGGCCTTAATCATTGTTTTTGCTTTCACGGTGAGCTGATTGAAATGTAAAGTACCTAAATTTCGGGGGGGTAGAGGTGGAGCAGAGGTGGACAGGGTGACCGGTGAGTTGGTGTTGATGATGGTTCCATAGGTCTCATTGTTGACAAGGTTGGGAACGAAACGCTGCTTGTCTTTGACCACATCTCGTGTGTCTCGTGCCAGGCTGGACGGACTGGGCTGAAGGGAATTACTGCCCGGTGTGTAGCAGCTGATGGGCCTCTCGTCCCGCCGGTGAGGACTGGACTATAGGCACAAAGGTTAAATGCTGTAAGTGAGACTAGATAAACCCACTGAATATTCAAAAAAATCACAACAAATATTTGCAATGTATCTGCAGGCAATATAAAAAAATTAAAGCAGTGGCTGACTAAATACTTTTTTGCCCCACTGTATATATATATATGTATTTGTTTGCATCAATCAATGTTGTTGGAAGTCTCTGTGTGGCATTTTTCATACATTCAAGTGTTTTAGTAAAAACACGTTTAGATAAATGATGCTCTTAAATACACCATTGGTACATTAGTGCATATATATGAAAACAAAACATAAAATATAATTCTTTCTTGTGTTCATTTAGTTGAAAAGTGTTGGAAAAATGCCTTGATTGTTTTTATCTTGATTTTTACTATATTATGAATGAACTCTGCTACAGTAACTATTTGACTGAAACCCTTTTAAGTTAATAATTATGTATGAAATATTACTATATATATATATATATATATATATATAATTAAATAACTAAATGTAGAAATATTTGTACTTGAATTTAATTTCAAAGTAAAAATACACATTTACCATAAAACCACAGGGAAAATATATATCTTCCTTCCCTGTGGTTTATATATAATGTTAAACGTGGATTTAATTTATACTTTTAAGTGATGTTCAAATACAAATAATTCAATTATTATTATAAAAAAAACACACTAATAATTCAATTATTTATTTTTAATAATATTCATATATATAATAATACAATTATTTTTATTTGAACATCACTTAAAAGTATCAATTAAATCCACAAACTGAACAACTCTTATCCAAACCAAGGTGAGATGAGGGGGGAAAAAACTCACATGGCCATTGGCCAGAGGAATGGGCTCCATTAGGTCCACACCCTCAGCATAGACCTGGATGAGAGAGAAAATATCCCGGGCCTTCACAGCATCACAGAGCGTGTGCAGCTTGGACAGCGCATCCGGACACTTCTTACGAGCAAAGCGCTTCTCTGTGTATTTGGCCATGATGAAGTCTTTCCTCGCCTGCCTGTGCCATTAAAGGGAATTAAATAAGTGTAACGATACAATATAAAATTGTATAATGAAATGACAAGTTTTGGCTTACATGTCACTGGATGGATTTGGTTTGATGACATCTTCTGCTGTCAGACAAGCTTCCATGATCTCATTAAACCCAGCATTCCCCACGTTCTTGGCCAGCTGAACACCACAACACAAACATAGACGCAAACTCATGCATAAAATCAACGTTGGTGCAAAACTAATTGCATTTCACAACTCTAAAGTACCAACAAACTGACTTAACGCATTTATTCAGGGTCCATTTGATCTGTTTCGCTACTTCATAATATCCATAATCAACCTAACAATGTATCTTGGCATTCAATCAGAGACGGGAGCCTTTCTCACTGTGGCTAACAGTTCTGCAGTCTTGTGTAATTACTTTAATGATCCTAAATTGCTGGCCAAAAACGCTCTGGGCTGAAATCATGCATGTTGAATGGCTCCCAAAGAGCCCAAGTGAAGGCTGAATCAAAAGAATCCAGTGCAAACCAAATAAATAAACTCAATATGAGGCTTACAGCAGCAGTGCTGGGGAATCTGGGGAGATGCACTCTGTGAAATCAAAGATCAAACACTAACCAAGAGCTCTGAGGTGCTGAGAACATCTAGTGTTAGTGACTGGATTCTGGAGTAGTGCACGCCTAACTCTCGGTGGATCCCTGAACATTCGATACACGTCAGGATGCCTAGGTTGGTGGAGAGCCATGTGGGGCCTGAGGGAGAATACGAGAGAAAAAAATGCTTGAACAACTTTAACAGAGGCTGTCAATCAAAAATGTGTAACATTTTACAAAAGATGAACCAGCTTGTCCCCATTCCCACAATGCGTGAGTTTTATGATCAATTATGCAGATTGCTGGAGCTAGCAGTTAGCGCACATGCTCTAAAATCTGAATCGAGCTTGCAAAGTTTCTTAATCCTAAAAAATATTTTGGGAAGAAGCAAATAAATAAAAAATACAGTATATAATAATAATAATAATGATGATGAATATTAAATTAATGTTATTGGTATTGTCACTATTGTATTCCGTTATTATTTTATTATGTAATTATCCTTATTGTTGTAGGAATTATGTATTATTATTATTATTAATAAAAATAATAATAAATACCACATACCACAAATAACTATTGCTATTGCATTATTTTAACAAATTAATTAAAATATATAATTGTTGTATTCATTACTATTTATTAATAATAAAAAATGAATATTAAATACATATATTAAATGTTTTTGTTATTATCATCATTGAACTGCATTATATTTAATAGATTAAATAATAATAAATACATATTACAATAATATTTTACAAATTAATTAAATTATATAATTATTATTTAATAATAATAAATGTTATAATTTAATTATATTTAATCAATTATATAATAATAATAATAATTATTAAATGTTTTATTGCATCATTATCGTATAACAATTTAATAAATAAATTAATAATAATAATACATGTTGTTATAATTTCATTATATTTAAATAATAATTGTTAAAATAATAATAATAATTAATTAAATGATATTATTATTATTATTAATAATAATAATATTATCATCATTATTGTAAAACATTATTATATTTAATAAATTTGTTAAAGGGGTCTCATATGATGCTGCTCAAAAGGAACATTATTTGGTGTATTTGGTGTAATGAAATGTGTTTATGTGGTTTAAGGTTCAAAAAACATTATTTTCCACATACTGTACATTATTGTTTCTCCTCTAAGCCCCACCTTTCTGAAACATGTCGATTTTTACAAAGCTCATCGGTCTGAAAAGCGAGGTGTGCTCTGATTGGCCAGCTATCCAGTGCGTTGTGATTGGCCGAATACCTCAAGCGTGTGACAGAAATGTTACACCCCTTACCATACTGTGATGCCTTGTCCCGGCATCACAATATGCGTTGCATCGCGCCGCGTAAACATAAAACCATGTCTGCATTTGTGATCGGAGAAATTACAAACAACAAGTGCTACTCTACACAGCTCAAAACTCGCATTTGAATCATCAGTGGCAAATTCGGAACAGCCGGCATTGTAGTCTACCAGGATCAGGAAACAGTCCTCCATAAAATGCACTGGACACATCTGAATATTTGGGTTGAACTGTTCTGGAACAGTGTTGTAAATACAACTTAACCACTGATTTTTAGTCGTGTCCTCTTTTGGAAGGCCAAACAAAGTAGTTTTGCTTTCACAACGAAACTGCGTCACACACCGCGGCCTTGAGTGAGCAGAGGCCGGCGGGCTTGAGAACGGCGCGGCCGGCGGATTCGACGAAAGAGCGTCTGGCGGGCTTGCGGCATCCACATGTGACCCCGGGCTGGACTCCGCTTCGTCCACGGTGAAAGCCGATCCGGCGATCGACCACGCAAAGTTGATGTATTTCCTCAGCGACCAGCATGGATCAGCTCTAGGCATGACGAAGCAGATGTCGTCTTCTTTTGGAAGGCCAAACAAAGTAGTTTCGCTTTCAAAACGAAACACAGCGCCTTCACGACATGGCGGCAACAACAATACTACAGCGAGAATAAAAGTTACGCCTTCTTTCTTTGCGTGAACATTTGGGCGGCATTATGCAAATCTTCCCACATCGTGACGTAGACATGTGGGGGCGTGTTAGAACGAGCCATTTTAGGTAGGCGTGGTTGACTCTTAACTTTTATAAAGAATATCTCTTTGGATTTGAGACTTTAGTCTTTGAAACTTTACAGATCTTCTTTATGCACCAAGAGCTTGTAACACTCCAAAGAGAAAGGACAAATTTAAATCACATCATATGACCCCAATAATAATAATACTAATGTCAGTTGTTTTTTTTTGTTGTTGTTTTGGCATGCTGGGTCTTGTCTTGTCACACAACAAGTATCTGACAGGTCAAAAGAGAGCAGCCTATGCAAATCCAATCCTTTTAACCAAGTTCCTTTACTACCAGCTTCCACATTGTTCTTCCTGTGAACAGATTCAAAACAGCTTTCTTTCTTACTTCCTCCTTCCTGTCGGTTTCCAGGTCACTCACCGGGAGCTCCGCAGTCACAGCAGACGTCGTTCCCCGCCATCCGCTTGACCTCACCCAGGATGGCCTTGGTCAGCTCCTGCACGATGTTGTTCTCACCAACATGCTGGTCACCCTTAAACGCGTTGTTGAGCGCCTCCTCCTTACTGTTCTGCAGCACTGAGATCCATCTGAGAAGAGACGCAGAGAGATCATGAGGAATAAGAAATAGAGAGCAGGGATTCTATTCTAATCAAGGCTGAGGAAGAAACTGTAGCTACTCAATTTGAAGTCGTTCTACAGTCTCAAAACAGCAGTTCACTACACTATAAGAAACTTGCAAAAAGTAGCTAACTATGTTAAAGTTATTTAAGAGAAAAACCATTTTTATCAGTGATAACTGATTATCCACAATCATCCAGTTAAAGTATTCAACTGGCACAAAAACAACCAGGAAATTAAATAGGGGGACCATTTCAAACTCAATACATAACTACAGATTTTATACTAAACAACATAAAAATAATAATAGCCATTTATTTTAATACAAAAAAAAGAAAGAAGTGAAAAGCTTAGAAAGGAGTTCAAGGAAAACAAACAAATGATTATTCAAATCAGTTAATCATTTTTTGAACCAGATTAACTGAATCAGATTTTCCAAGTCTAGTTTGATTACTGTCCAGCTGTTCTCGGTTGTCTTGCTTGTTAGGGAAAAACAGCTAGTTACTGGAAGAGCTGCAGTATTTTGTTGTTCCTTTCAGTTAGTTATTCCCTAAAACTGTAGGGAATGTCCTTACGACAGGTTTCCTTTGAAAACGGAACGGACACACGCTTACATTTGACACTCTGGCTCATCCTCTGCCTGGAAATGATACGTTCTGTCATCTAAGAGTGATAGAAGAACTTTATTCTACACTTCCTGTTATCCTCTCACTAGTTGTCTTGGTGACAAGGAAAGTTTTCAGTTCCCAACAACACTGAGGCCAAAGGAAATGCCTCTAGAAAAGACAGTATAATGACTAATGTTCACCGAGGGGCTCGAGTCGAAGGCTGAAAGCCTATTGAATTAGCACTGCACTAATGAGGAGACTGTGTGATTTATCAAAGATAAGCATATTGCAGGTGCTGTGGCTGGTCCCTTTTTAATCCATTTATTTATTTATTTACTATTTTTAAATCACCTGTTTAGCCTTCACTTAAATGCGCCTACGGTGAGACAAATTAATTTTTAAAAGCATGAGTATTCCCTGTAGTCTCAATTAACATGATGGCATAAAACTACACTCATAATAAAAAATTAATAAAAAAAAGGGAAAAGGAAAGACGACTTTTTTCCATTTTAATCCAATATCAATATCAACTGCTTCCAAGACCAGTATAGCAGATATTGATAAGTTTTGAAAATTGAACGTTTTGGTGATTTCTGAGGATAAAATGGGTAATTATATGCATTTAACATTATATTTAACATTATAAAGCCATCACAATTAACATTGCAAGTATATATTTTCAACCAAAAAGAGTAATAAAAGTACCAAAAAAGGAACAAAGAGTTCTAGTACTAAATAGTATAATAAACCGTATGCGGGGGTCCTATTATGCTCTTTTACAAAGTCTTGATTTTGTTTTGGGGGTGTACTAGAAGAGACTCTCATACTAGGTTGTTCGAAAAAAACATTATTTTTCACATATTATACATTACTACAACTCCTCTCTCCCCAGTCTGGCATGAACAGCTCGAATAGTTCCTGTATCAAATGAAGGCCCGCATTCTGAAATACGAAATGTGCTGTGATTGGTTAGCTGGGCCAGTGTGTGCTGTGATTGGCAGCACTCGGCGCCTGATCGGGAAATGTCATGTCCCTTACCATAGCCGCCTGCCAGCTTCAGTGTAAATATAGCGTCAAAATCAAATCAATTTGAGCGCGATTTAAACCCGGATGATTGTAACCACTCTAAGTTCGTCTGCCTTGGTAAAGCTAGTGTGTCTCCGACGTAGTGATAACACTCGTTGCCTTCTCTAGTGCAGCTCAACCAGTTCTCGTCCCATTCGTCGATATGTGTGATATCACAAATCCCGGAAAATATGCGTTGTAGTCCAAACGAGTCATTCGTTGTAGTTTTTGAAAAGTGATTTCTGTTGAATAAAATACCTCCTTTTGAATTGGACTTAGAGCTTTGTAACTTTGCAGATCTTTTTTATGCTCAAACAGCAACATTACAGACTAACTAAAGTTGAAAAAGTGAAAGAGCATAATAGGACCCCTTTAACAGCTAATGTTTTAACTTCAAAGCTTATAGTATACATTTATTATCATGCAAAAAAAAAACAAAAAAAAAAACACGTCTCTTAATACTTCAGTATTAGTAGCATCAATATTTCAAGATCCCTTCACTATTAAAATTGCAAGTTACACCGCAGGACACTGCTGTCACTGCTCCACTTGACATTTCAACTACCCATAGGTTAGTGAGCATGAAAACTAATCAGGTAGGTTACATACCGTCCCGTGCGAGATGGTCAAATAACCATTCTTCACCGTGCACTTTCTCTTCTGCCACACTTTCCGCAGCCTGAGGAAGTACGCAGGAAACAGTAAAAGTCACATAAATTACGATTTAAGCATTAAATACATGATCAATTATGCAGGACGGACTTTAGTCATTATAACAAACATGCATTAACTCACTGTATGACATTTTAATGCACACTGTTATGTGATGTCAAAATATGATTACCCATCACTCTTCTTGTAAAGGTTCCCACTGCGCTCCGTCCCGTGCTCTTTGTTGCCTTGGGGCTGGTGCAGACTGTAGGTGGCGCTCTGTCTAACCTGTGAGTCCTATGAGGAGAGAACAGATATGTAAATGTATTCTGTGTGCACACAGCAGCAGTGAACCACTGGCACGTCAGCAGTCAGAGGAAGTGAAAAGCAGTGTTTTTGTACGGCAGTGTTGTCACTCCAGTGAGGAAATGGGAGCAGTGGGTTTCAAGTGCCCCCAGGGAGCTGAGCTCATTTGTAAACGCACTGCTTTGGAACACAAGGCACTGAGCCAGTAATGAGAACACTGCCATTTTAGTACTGTTTTGAGTTGGACAAAAGCCAAAATGGGCTGTATTTTGACTGTGTGCTATATAAAGCTCAGCTTAAATATAGACACACATCACTCAAGGTTGGATAAAAGACATCAGCCGCAACGCAGTTCACACAGCAATTTTTTTTTTTTTTTTTTTACACTTTTTAACCAATTCCAGAAAAAGGCAAATACCCAAGTATGATAATGATATTTTGTACGGCAGTGTTGTCACTCCAGTGAGGAAATGGGAGCAGTGGGTTTCAAGTGCCCCCAGGGAGCTGAGCTCATTTGTAAACGCACTGCTTTGGAACACAAGGCACTGAGCCAGTAATGAGAACACTGCCATTTTAGTACTGTTTTGAGTTGGACAAAAGCCAAAATGGGCTGTATTTTGACTGTGTGCTATATAAAGCTCAGCTTAAATATAGACCCCCATCCCTCAAGGTTGGATAAAAGACATCAGCCGCAACGCAGTTCACACAGCAATTTTTTTTTTTTTTTTTACACTTTGTAATCAATTCCAGAAAAAGGCAAATACGCAAGTATGATCATGTATACTAAGTAGACACTTACTCTCCTCGACTTCGTTGCCAAAGGACGGTAGCATTAAAGAAGAGAAGAGAGCATTCTTCAGACAGGTTACAAAAAACATCTTGCACACTAAAAATAGCTATACACTGTAAGAATGCATTAAACTCAAAACATTGTGTGACATCAATAGCCAGTTGTTTTTATGTTGTGGTTAAAGAATTTTAAAAAATCCAGAGTATGCAGCTAGAAATGGGGGAAAAAATGAGTCAATACCATGCAAATAAGTCTATGATGTCTACTGAAAAAACGTCCATAGTGCATACTGGGAAATAAATCAATCAATCAATAACTGTGTCCGAAACCAATATGATCACATATATTGTGTACACTCCTATAGTAAGCAAGGCCAAAATAAAATAATAAAATAAAATATTGGTCAAAACCAATATGATCACAGATATATTGCGCACTTCTATAGTAAACGGGGCTGGTAATAAAATAAAACAGGAAGGTGGGCAAAAAATTTTTATAAATAAATACATTGTCTGAAATGACTGTGATCAGATATATTGTGCACTTTATAAGAAGCAGGGATGTCATGTGCAACCCAGTAGTGAAATCAGATGGCGAGACAAATAAAACTCTACTTGTTCACGTGGCATTTTTAATTAAAATGTAGGATTATTAATTATTTGCATTTAGATTAAATGTGTAATCTCAATGTCTGTAATCACATATGCCAAAGCTACTTGCTCGATGAAAAACTTAAATGTCTTGAGACTGACTAAAGTTTAAGAGGGTGAAAATTGGCAGGAAGATAATGCGGTAGAGTTTTCACAAGCAATGTTTACTGAGAGAATTACTGAGCAGAAGACCTAAACCATTTCAATCTAGATACACGTCAAACTGAGCTATAAACGCACTGTGAATAGTGCTGTGGCTTGTGAACTGCTGCGAATTGTGTGGGATTAGATTTGAGAAAGTACTAACCTCCTTCTGCTCCACTTGCAGAGCGGTCTTTAGTACGTCCCGTAACTGGTTTAGCTGCCTGCGTTCTTCATCCTGTACCTGTTTGATCTGAAGACACAATCAGCAGTGGAAACAGAAGGTTTTTTGAAGGTAAAAATGAGAATTGGTGTAGAGATGTAGTAGGGCTGGTATGTCAGTGGTTCAGCTTTGAAGAACCTCTCACCGAGTGCAAGTCTGTGGCGAGTTTCTCTATTGAGGGTTTGAGGTTGTCCACTGCTTTGAGACCATCCTGAAAGAAGCTATGGCAGAAGACATAATTCCAGTTATTTCCCAAATAATTTTTCCATCCACAGTCTCAATTTTAGTTGAAGTTGTTATACAAATAACACAATTTCAATTATGGACAAAAAAATACTTTTTTCAAGACATTCTTCAAAACTTTTTCTTTTGCGTTTCACAGAAAAAAGAAAGTCATACAGGTTTGGAGCTGCATGAGCGTGATATCCCTTTAATTGCTTTAAATGCGCCTCAAAATATCTAAATAATTGTCTTTGCAGCAATATACTGTGAATATGATAAAAGGTGCTGCATGGTTTCCTCTCAATAACAATATAAATACAAAACAAAAATGACAACGGTGAAAAAACAGTAGTTAAGAAAGCATCTGATTATAGTGATGTGGATATGTTTGCACCAGCTCTGCAATTCATCACTCCAGTCACATCAGGTCACGTTTATTAATATAACACTTTATGCAATAGACTGCTTTAAAGCAAGCAGCTTTACAGCATTAAACATTAAAAAACAGTGTCAGTGTTGCTTCCAATTAGAACTACAATTTCAGTTTCTATTATATATAAATCAGCTCTCCACTGTGAACAGAAGAAATGATCTAGAAAAGATTTCTACATCCAAGAAGGTGAAGCCCCAGAGCACATCTTACTATTACATACACCCTCAGAAAAAAAAGCAACAAAAGTTGTCACTGTGACAATACCCTTTAAAAAAGTACTAATATGTAACATTTAGGCACTAATATGCACCAATTCGGGGTAAATAAGGTATAAAAGTGTACCTTTTGAAAGTGTAATTGCCACAGACAGTGGTAGTTTGAAGGTGTTTACCAGCCAGAGAAAACTTTTCTGTAAAGTTCTCTTTGGCAAGCCATTTCAAACGTGAATATGATAAAAGGTGCTGCATGGTTTCCTCTCAATAACAATATAAATACAAAACAAAAATGACAACGGTGAAAAAACAGTAGTTAAGAAAGCATCTGATTATAGTGATGTGGATATGTTTGCACCAGCTCTGCAATTCATCACTCCAGTCACATCAGGTCACGTTTATTAATATAACACTTTATGCAATAGACTGCTTTAAAGCAAGCAGCTTTACAGCATTAAACATTAAAAAACAGTGTCAGTGTTGCTTCCAATTAGAACTACAATTTCAGTTTCTATTATATATAAATCAGCTCTCCACTGTGAACAGAAGAAATGATCTAGAAAAGATTTCTACATCCAAGAAGGTGAAGCCCCAGAGCACATCTTACTATTACATACACCCTCAAAAAAAAAAGCAACAAAAGTTGTCACTGTGACAATACCCTTTAAAAAAGTACTAATATGTAACATTTAGGCACTAATATGCACCAATTCGGGGTAAATAAGGTATAAAAGTGTACCTTTTGAAAGTGTAATTGCCACAGACAGTGGTAGTTTGAAGGTGTTTACCAGCCAGAGAAAACTCTTCTGTAAAGTTCTCTTTGGCAAGCCATTTCAAAACCCCGAAACATGCTACAACAGAACTTTGAGATTGATGTTTGTTCTTCGATTCCCCTTTAAGTATATCAAGGCCTTTATTATGCCTTTATTTAAGAGAAACATTGAGAAATGTGGCCAGACTTACTTGCACTGTGCGTGAAAGTATTTGATGAGATTCTGAAGCAAGTCGACACCTTTCTTGATCTTGATTTCATTGACTTTGAGGAGGTACTGTAACAAAACAATAGAGGAGCCTGAAGCACACACACTGCACAGGAAGTGCCTATTACAGCACCACAACAGGATTCTCCAATGAAATGAGCCGCCTCTGACCTCACACATCTGAAGCTGAAAGAAACGGCGCTCTTTCTCCATCTCCTCTGCTATCTCTGCTCCACTGATCTCCGTCCGGATCATTCCATGCTGTCGGGCGTGTTCTTTTTTCTCCTTCTCTATTTTAGAACTGTGTGAAACACATACAGACCCGCTTAAGAATTCAGATACACAAATGCAAACACACGCACAGGAAACACTCATGCAGCAGGGCATTCTTTTCCATATGCTCCAGCGGCATATTGTACCCCACGTTACGGATGCAGCATTTCCTCTGTGGGGAAGGGCCCTGCTCTCAGACACAGGATTCCAGAGAGAGCCTCATGCGTTTGGTTTAGGCCTTTATACGCTCTTAGCTCCAGCGGCCGATCATGAAGCAGGCTGGCCATTTCTGGAACCTCTGCTTTCAGAGTTCGAAGCCTTGCGAGGAGATGTGGTCAAGAGGTGGCTGAACACTAGAAGCCATTTCCAAAACAAAACATTTCTAGTCAGTGAAACTAGAAAATGAAAAGGCAAAAAAAAGATTGTGAGAAAATGCATCAAGCTGAATGAAGTGATGTGTTAGCGTGAGGAGCTGCCTCTGGCAACAATTTTGATTTCTGTATTAAGTTCAGTGTTGGGGAGAAGCAAGACTATTAACTTAAAGGGATTGTTTAACCAAAATAAAAATAATTGACTCCAAAATGTTATGCATTTCTATCCTCTGCAGAGCACAAAATATTTTTTATTTAATCTAATGAAAATCATTGTTTTAGTTCCCAAAATTCTTCAAAATATCTTGTGTTCCACAGAAGAAAAAGTCACAGCTTTGTTACAACATGAGGGTGAGTAAATGATGACAGCATATATTTATTTTTGTCAAGTCTGATTCATTTGAACCCGTTCAGACACTTAATTTGAATGAATGGATTCAATGACTTTTATAATGTTTTTATAATTAGGACTTTCTATAGTTTTAATTAACTTTTTTATGAACTTTTTAAATTCAATGAACCGATTCAAAAAGTTGTTGATTATTTTTATTTACTATTTATTTTATTTTAAATTTTTTGTAGCAGAAATTTTTTTTTGTGTGTTTTGGTGCCAAGCCAAATTTCATGGCTATATTCAATAAAATAAATGATATAAATATTAAAACCTATGGAACATTATCTTTGACACTATGTTTGATTAACTCTAAAATGTGGTGTAGTAATATTATTATTTAATGAAATACTCAATTTCTTTGTTCTTGATTATGTTACATATAGTTCAAAATTACTTTTTTACACTTAAATGTTTTGTATTTTAAAGGCATACAAGTCCAAAAATATAACTCTTAATAATAATAATCAAATATAATTATGTTTATTAAATATACTGTAATTATGATTAGCTTGTAGTTGAGAAGTCTGTTTTGTTTTTTTAGTAGCTTCCCCAACGATTTGGGTATTGCATCTGTACATCTGACAGATGGAAGAAATGAGCCTAAATAGACTCACTCATGTCAGCACATCACTTCCACCGATGACTGCAAAGAACAGTCCACCATTTTTTGTGAAAAAGATCATGTTCAATATCAAACCAGTTAAAAGCAAAACACAAAAATGGTGGAGTGTTGCTTTCATCTTTGGGAGAAAGAAACACACACAAACAAATAATTAGTTATGAATCGTGATTTGATGTTTCCTGCTGTTCACCTGGTCTCCCAAGGCACCACATTATTTTTAGTGTCAGATTCATTGTCTCTTAAACAAACACAGCAAGATCTTCAGCATATTCATTAGCAGGGTATTTGCACAAATGAAGCCTGCCGCGCAAACTGCAATTTGCGAGAAAGCCGAAAGCTTTGCATAGACAGACATTGAAGTGAACTCAAACTGTAGCGGCGGTGATGATGAAAACCAGTTTAATGGAGTCAGGGCCAGTGTCACGTTAGAGGACAGTTTCGTTTCTTTCTGTCTGGAAACATGAAGGTATCGGTCACAATCAAACGCCAGAGATTATATCCGGCGATGGGGGGTGAAACATGTATTTGACTGAGCAAAATTGCTGATGATGGAAAACAGCAATGATATTAAAAAAGACAGGACCATAAAAAGCACCTGGCTTCAAAGGCAAATCAATTAATCAAATTACGTGTTATAAGAAAATATATTACCCTTTCAGTAAAGAATGTCCCTTGCAGCTTGGAAAATATATAAAAAGTTCTACATAAATGTCATACATTGTCGCATGCACAGCAATCAGTGTGATAGCTGAGGATAGGAATACAGGAAGTGAGGTGGTAACAATGACAGCTCATTATCCAGAGTGCTGGGCACCACTGATCCCTCATTTGACACTCAGGACACTGACATTTCCTTTCAATTTAATACATTTTCAGAATAAGTTATAAGCAAACATGCATGACAGAAATGAATGAATTCTTCGAAAATCTCTTACACTTTAGTCTCATAGTCTTTCCAGGCTTTATCAAAGGGCTTCTTGAGATCCTGCAAAAAAGGGACAGAGGATATTCATTAGACATACATAGTATGACTCAACTTTCATTTTGACATCCGCTGCTTAACCCACATAACTGAGGAAAAACAGGCCTGAGCAGAAGCGTTGTCTCACAGAGCCAGACGCTTCATTGTCAGCATAACGTCTGGTCCACACTGTGGATGCAATGTTTTTTTTCTCCTCTAAACATCATGATATGTCTTCAGCATTGTCACACAATTCAAAGTTGGCTGACTGGTTGTGTGCTGAATGCACTAAAGAACATTAACACAAATTATCAAGGGTGTTTAAATTTGCTGTATCAGCCAGCCAATCAGATTGGAGCATGTATTTTGCACAAACATGGCAAGGTTTGAGGCTTAGACTAGCAGAAGAGCGGCATAAAATCACCATTCAGATGTACGCCATCACACATTATGTCAGGCTCACAAAGAAAGTACCTGATGTAATGCCAGTGGCTGTATTCTGTAATGACATCATCTGAAAGCTTTAGGGAAATTCTGCTTGTGCAAACAGAGCGTTCTCCAGCAGCTCTACTGAGGGTTTACTCTAATAACACAAGGCTGTGTTTGTAGAGGGACTTCCTAAGAGTCCTACCAACTCTTTTAATGTGCTTCCATAACAGATGTTACACACAGCTTGAGTTGTGCCCAAAAGAGTCTCATCTGTGCCAGCAATAATGGCTCAGTAAGAGGAGTTTGACAAGAAAATCATCTCCACATTGAAAGAACGCTCCAAGCATTCCATACTTGAATCAATGTAACAGAAAATAGAAGAGACGAGAAGTACCCATTTACACATTAATACATTAGATGTATACATATACAGTGGGTATAGAAAAGTTTTTAAAAAATCACATTTTGTTGCTTTGCAGCCTGAAATGAAGATGGACACAGTTTTTGTTTTATTTAGCTATATTTACTCAGTGCAGCTTATAAGATCCAAGTGAAAGATAACACCAACATGTCAGAAAAAAAACAGAATCACTGAGTTGGAAAAACACTCTTCTAAAAATTACTTGTAAACTCAATCAGGTGTAGTTAATCACCTTCTCAATAAGACACAAAGCTGTTTGACTTTCAACTGTGATCAGCTGTGATCATTTTGATTAGCTCAGCATGAAAAGAGATTTCCTGGAGCGTTTCAGTTCTTGGTAGTGCAACTGAAGCAAACAATCAACTATGGGTGGCAAGACACTGTCAAAAGATCTCCGGGATAAAGTTGTGGACAGGCAAAAAAAAAAGTCAAAGGCTTTATCAGTGCCTAGAAGCACAGTGAAGTCTATTATTAAGAAGTGGAAGGTATTTGGTACAATACAGACCCTCCCTGGATCAGGACGTCGCTCCAAACTGGATGAAAGAGCCAGGAGGAAACTGATCAGAGATGCTACCATGAGGCCTACAGCTGCTCTGAAGCAGTTGCAGGAATTTATGACAAAGAGTGGTCACTGTGTGCATGTGACAACAATATCACAAATTCCCCACAAATGTGGCTTGTATGGGAGGATTGCAAGAAAAAAGCCACTCCTCAAGAAAGGCCACATGCAGTCACGACTGAGCTTTGCCAAAACGCTCCTTGAAGATTTTGAGGCAGATGAGACTAAAATTGAATTATTTGGCCTCAACACCAAACGGTATGTCTGGTGGAAATCCAATACAGCTCACCATCCAAATAACAGCATTCCTACAGTAAAGCATGGAGGTGGTAATATCTTGTTATGGGGTGTTTCTCTGCAGCAGGGACTGAAGCACTTGTCGGGGTAGAAGGAAAAATGGATGGGGCAAAATACCGTCAAATTCTTGAGAAAAACTTGCTGCCCTCTGCCAGAAAGTTGTCAATGGGAAGAAGGTTTACCTTCCAA